AGTAAATTAGTTGATATAAAAAAGATAAATGTGTGTGTCTATATATATATATATATATATATATATATATATAGTGTGTGTGCGCGCGCACGCACACCCTGGCGCGTAAAAGGTAAAATATCAAATGAATAAGAAAAAATAAAATTGAGAAAAGTAAAAAACGTCCATTAAATAAAAAAAATAAGAGCATCGTGTACCCTTTTGAAATTTAATATTAACAGAATTGCTAGAGAACAATCATAATTTAGGAAGGAAAGTTAACTCTCATTTTACAGAGAGAGAAATATACTATCGTTTTAATTAATTGATGTTCATAATTAGTTATGGTAAATATTAATAACACATACTAATATTTCTTTTACGGGAGAAACTTTTGATCTTACGCAACTCCTCTCTCTTTCCATTATATTTAATTAATTTTGATTCTTTTTAAGTCCTTTATAATTTTTTTGACAGAAGGAATATGTAAGGACATCTCAAATCAAATATGAAAAAACTCATTTACACTAGTATATTCGGACATGAATAAGGGGGAAAAAATACATAAATTTTTGTAGTTGATACGTAAAATAAAGGTATCGATATTAATCCCTATATCTAGCTTAAACATTCACTCTAAGAAATGTCATTTTTTAAATAAAAATGCGTGAAATAGAGAACTAAGAAGAGAAAACAAATTTATTAGCCTCAAACCTCTCCTGAGAGCAATGACGTAAAAGAAAAAACATAAAAGATCAAGATTCTAAAAGATTACAACTCCATAAGTACAAAATAGAAAAATTTAAGAAAAAGGTACGAAAATTACCTCCGTATTGACTGTGAAACTGATACAGTGCTTTCCAATTATATCACAAAGAACCGTCATCAACTACAATTAATCAACAACATACACATGCAACAAATCAATTTAAATTGCAAACTCGTATCATTGAACAAATACATTAAAGGATTTGGGAGAAGAATGGAGTAAGAGATATTTATAAGTGACTGAAATCTGAAAAAGTTCAGAATTACCATATAGGTGTCTGACTCCTGTTGTGAAAAAACTTGTTGTTACCTTCCTCCCAATTTATCCCCAGTAGATATCACGGGCTTATATTATTTGCAGGCTATTGTTTAGAAAAAGAAAAAGTAGAGTTACACTAATTCACACCGTGAATTTTTATATAGTAGTTTGCAGGCTTACACCGATTCATAAATATTTTCTTTAATTGTTACAACTGTTCAACTGTACTGAATATAATGCCGTCCTCTTTAATTGTTACAACTGTTCAACTGTACTGAATATAATGCCGTCCTCTTTAATTGTTACAACAATTATAAAATTTAAAAGGATGAGTTGGTTACGAATACGAAGGAACTCAACGTTAGAAGAGAGTTTTTTTGGACATATTAAATTTATTTAAATAAGATAAATAGAGAGATAAGTCAAAAAATACCAAAAAAAGAAAAAAAAGATAAATGTGTTTTTCGATCAAAAGGCATGCCACATCACCTCCTTAAATCCTAGCTATATATATATAGAGAGAGATTAGCAAGAAAACAGAGCTCAAACGTAAAGTGACCAATATTGCACTATTATTCGCCTAGTATATTGTCTCAAGTGATATTATCATATTGTCGCTATATGTTCACTTTCACTAAAAAAGAAACTAAATTTGTTGAGGAGCTTTAGCGGATAGGAGACACAATCATCGCCCACAAGTATACAGTGGCAAACATCCTATCAAGCTGCCTATACACCTCTTTTTATCAAATAGGTTCTTAAGTTTCCGTTTTCGCTTAATTAGTAGCTTAATTAATAGATTAAAAAAAGAAAAAGAAATATCAGGTTGAAAATATTACTATTTTTTGAAGAAAAAAAAACCTAAAACTTTATAAAAGAAATCTAGAACAAACACTCCTGGTGAAAAAGCAAAGATGATATTTATAGTTGGAAAAAGCACCGCATGCTAATATTTCCAAAAGTATATAAACAAAAAAAAAGCATCGACATAAGCCATAGGCAACTAATTTTAAGCAAATATATATAGCCTGGTATATAGTGGCCACAAGAAGTAGTTATAGAAAACCCTAATTAAAGAATTCAGAAAAAACGTTTGAGCTCACCGCAAGCTAGAACAATCAAATCCAGCACAGCCGATGGAAATAACCCTGAACCTAAACCATGAGCAAAAAGTAGCAGATGAAGGGAACAAAGAGAAACCGAGGGATGTACTATACACATGCTAATTAACTGATAGTAAATGACATTCCAGGTTCTAATATTAGAACCCATCATAGCTTACAGTTCTAAGAAGCTGAACCAAGTAACAGATAGCAGGTTTTAAAATATCTTAGCATAAAAGAAAATCTTGTCATGACATACAGACAACTAACGAGCCTTGAATATGTTGCTACAAAACTTGCTTGATAAGCTAATGAAAAGATCATTTAATTTAGCCATTTCTCAGAACACTGTTTTTAAGAATATTAGCAAAACATGACCCTATCATCATGAATCCTGACACTCCCTTAAAGTCAAGTCTAATATGAGCGAAGCCAAAGATACCACATAATAAATGTAATATTACTTGATAAACTGATACCATGGATGCTTCATTTAACATTAAAAAAAAAAAATTAGCATTGCAGTTGAAAAAACTATTTCAGACGCTCAATTATTTCCTAATAATATATTAATGTCACAAAAGAAAAGCACACAAACCAAGCAAAAATGTTGTCTGGGACGAGTTCATGTTGTTTAACTGTTCCATATGCATCTTCTGACATTAAGGAAGGACATTATGTTCATCATCCTACAACAATTATACTACATGAAGGGACACAGGATATTAAAGAATGCCTTTTCAAGCATTATATGTCTATAACAACCATATGACCAATGTCCATAGGATAGGTTTCTTTCACAAAAAAGTAAATAAATCTTGAAGACTAAGTGCAAGAAAATATGTTATAATCATCTTGGACATTCATATTAGTTTAAGGATATAGGAAAAAAGTTCTAAGACATTTTATCCTGTCTTAAAGGGAACTTGCATTGGGTGCTGCAAAAACTCGAATATCTCTAAATATTTGGTGCAGGCAAATACATGAGCAGATCTCTATCCACATCAAAAAGCAAAATTTCGGTTGCATAGACATTGTTATTAGTAGAACGCCCACTCGCAGCAAAACTTTGATCGTTAGATTATTCTATCCCTTGAGATAGACAGGTGAAACTTGGTTGGGAATCTAAATCACAAATTACATGGCTCTTTTCTGAATCCTCAAAATGATCTTATTTTATTTTCTTCTATTCTGCAACACTACCAACTCTTCGACAGCCCGGCCAAAAAAAAAAATATTCTTCCAATTTCATCCATCAAAACCCTAACTCGAAAAATTCCGATTCTTGTGTGAGTTAATTGATATTAAAGAGTAAGAGATTTAATTCAAGAGATTTGAGAAAGAAAGTAGGAAAATTCAGTACAAATCACAGGTACAAACACAACTCACAGGCCAACAAATACCAAAATCAAAGAGAATGGATTAACTAAGTAGTAAAGCTGATAAAGAGTAATAATCGAGCAAAATAACTTTGAATCAAACTCAAATCTGAACTTCACAAAGAAATTTTTACCTGATTGAATTGGTCTTGTGATGGATCGTTTCTCTGTTACTTTTTCTTGTGTCTGCTTTTCTAAGGGATATATCGAAAGAGAAGAAAAACATATATGTGGGAGTAGCCAAAAATGTACGCGTATATCTGCAGAGAGCACAAAAGGACACATATAGAGCTGATGAGAAATGACTGAAGTGCCCTCAAGCTTCTTTAAAAAGACACTAAGCAGACATGTCGAAGATCTTTCTCTTCTAATATATAGAAATATTATTGTTATTGTTATATGTATTGGGGAAAGTTGAGTTAACATTTGAAATTAATTATGTGGCTGACATGTCAAGACACATGGATTAATAAGAGAGTGACAGCTGGCAAAGAGTATGCAAAGAGACGCGAGTCTTAAAAGGTACGGGCAAAGGTTTAAGAAAACAAGAAGGAACGGTTACTCGGATCTCTTGATAATTTGAAGAGACATCTATGGAATGAACCAAGACAGCAAAAAGTACAGATACGTAATATCTGCAATTAATGAGCATAAATGATGGGGAACGTTATAGAATCTTCACGAAACTGTTACGATTGCCAATTATAACGTTTTATTAATGTCAATTAATTGCTCATAATGGCTCTATTATGAGAGGAAAGAAACGTAGTACTTAGAAATAGCTATAAAAGGAGAGAAATAATATTTGTATTGGACACACTAATTACTATTGGAATATACTTATTAACATTTCTTTAAATTGCTTACTCGACTACTTTTCAGTCCAATTTTACTTCTCTTGTTACATAATTATTTTCTTATCTGATTATCAGTAACCCGAGTTCTTCTAAAATTACACTTCGACCGAAATTTCTATTTTCTGCTTAAATAAATTGGTTCCGTTACCGGGAATCTGATAATCTTCTACTTTTTAAATTAACTCTTTTGTCAAAACAATCATGTCAAATGTCAACGACAACAACCAACAAAATTTACAGCACCAAGAAAATCAGTAACATCAGGAGAATCAACAAGGTGATGGAACTCCAGTCCCCTCACAACGAAACTCTCCTCGACAATCTCAAGAAGGATCTCCTGACGGATCTGAATCAAATATGAACGAGCAGTTTGAGAATGATCAGGTTATTGATGAAGCTTTGAAAAAAATAATCGCTCAACAGGTCAGTAATGTTTTTCAAGCTTTTTCTAACCAGTTGGCGGCTGTACCACCAACACCAACTCCAAACAACAACACCTTAGAAAATCCTCGCTCAGGACTCGTTAACTCAGGTTGTGGAGGAACTACCAGCGAATCTCATAATGGAGGGTCAGGTAACCCAGTTAATTCTAATTTATAAAGTTTAGTACTAACTTTGGAGAAATAGCTCAAGGAGCAGAGCGATTGCATAGAGCCGATACTTGGAGT